TAAAAAAGACGATCTGTCGTATTGTAGTTTCATAAAGACGGACTTTTTATCGATTTTATGAAGTTTTTTTCATACTAAATGATGATCCTTGTTCACACTAATTAATGAATCTTTATCACACTAAACATTGATCCTTTTTTGTCAAATATTGAACCTCTCACGAAAAAAATAAAATGTTGAACCTATTTCGTCAAATATCTGATCCTTTTTTTATCTGATCCTTTTTCATTTTTTTTATCAAATATTCATCCTTTCCAACAAATTATGAATCTTGTCAGTACGATTAAGAAAAAAACAGATGAATACGCTATATTTGTAACTATAAATACACAATACATATAGATATAGAATAAGACAAAATGTGATCTGAATACTGTTTTATCCATACAATTTATCCTAATTTTTAAAGATTTCCCAAACGCGCCCCTTCCCATTTCACCAGACACCAAACCCTTTTCAATAACCCACAAAACTCAGATACTCCACCCAATTCCCAACCAGACCGACCAGACCATCGAAAATTGGTCTTCTTCTTCCAGGTAGTCGTGCTCTGGGTCGACGCCCACGCTGACGTCAACCTGGGCAAGACTTCACCTTCGGGAAATATGCACGGGATGCCGGTCTCATTCCACCTCAGGGAACTCGCGGAGCAGGTTAACCGGCTGCCGGACCAGTGGCCGAAGCCGTGGTTGGTTTGGGGTTGTTTTCTCTTCGGGTGAAATGGGGGCCTTAGGATTTTTTTTTCTTTTGCTTGAAGCTGGTAATTGAGGTGTGATTTTCTTTTTTTTGGATGGAAATACACGCACACACACACACGCAGACAGGCGCATGTGCATCCGCGCGTATTTGCACACTCACACCTACACCCATTCACCTACCCGCAATCGCACGAAAGCACACACACACACACAAAGGGAGAGGGAGACAGAGAGAGAGAGAGGGAGACAGACAGACAGAGAAAGGGAGACAGACATACAGAGAGAGAGAGAGAGAGAGAGATTGCAGATTGCAGAAACACCGGAACTGTACTTTTTTATAATTACTATATTAGTAGTTTTACATATCCGTACTTGGTGCTGCAGTTATACATATATTTAAAACGGATTACAGTTGAAAAGAATAAATATACGATGTTTATAAACGGTCTAATTTGATAAATTAAAGAAATATACACTAGAATCGTCCATTTTTAAGAGAAAATTATAATACCATCGAATTAGTATTTATGATGAAGGTTAATTATAATACAGAGTCTCTACGTTTATATAAAAAATACAAATCTAATTGTTTATATTTCCGTTACATATTCCAGTATCTTAACGCATTCGAAACACATATAGATTTTCTTAAATCATTTTTCAAAAGAAAAAAGAAAAAACCGCATTTACATCCTAAATTTATAAACAAGATACATAGCTTGGATTTTTACATATACACTTTAGAAGGGAAATTTCAGAAATGGAGTTTTAATTCATATCCGAATTTCAACAGCATCTCCGCACAACACATCAGTTATATCGGACTGAGAGATCTGGACCCCGGCGAGGTGTAAGTCTTTTGTTTTCTTTTTTTTTCTTTCTTTAAATACATTAAAGTAAAATGATTATATATTATATAGCGTGATGGTTAAATACGTTATTAATTAACAATAGCAATGATAATAACAAAAATGGCAATAATAATAATAATGCAATAATAATAATAATGTCAATAATGATAATAATAATGATAATGATAATAGTAATGATAATAATGATATTACTAAGAATAATGATATCGATAAAAAATGTAGAAAAAAACAGTTCGCACAAGTAAGATTTACTGAAACAATAAAAGATAATACCAGTTATTATTTCTATCATAATATTCTATCATCATAACAACAATCATAACAAACAATAACATCATCAAAATAACACTCATAACGACAACAATGATAAATCTATAAGCACCTAACCCTTCCAACCGCAGACGAATGATAAAGGACATGGGCATCCAAGCCTTCTGGGCGAGTGACGTCGAACGCCTAGGACTTCCAGCTGTTCTGAGCATGTGTATGGAGCACCTGCAGCCCTCGGAGAAGCGGCCCCTCCACATATCCTTCGACATCGATGCTCTGGATCCTATGGAGGCCCCGAGTACAGGAACGCCAGGTGAGGAGTGTTTTACAAGGGGTGTTCTGCAAGGTGGTTTGTAGGGTTTTTTTCGGGAGGTGTAGAGGGTGGTCTGCAGGTGTTTTATAGGGGAGGTGTTTTACAGGGGGAGTTCTGTGGTACAGGGGAGTTTAGGTTTTACAGGGGAGTTCTGCAGGTGTTTTACAGGGGAGTTCTGCAGGTGTTTTACAGGGGAGTTCTGCAGGTGGTACAGGTGTTTTACAGGGGAGTTTCTACAGGTGGTTTACAGGGGAGTTCCATAGGTGTTTTACAGGGGAGTTCTGCAGGTGGTACAGGTGTTTTACAGGGGACAGTGTACAGGTGTTTACAGGGGAGTCTGCAGGTGTTTTACAGGGAGTTCCATAGGTGTTTACAGGGGAATTCTCAGGTGTTCAACAGGGGAGTTCTACAGTGTTTTACAGGGGTAGTTCCCTAGATGTTTTACAATCAAGACATTAAAGACCTGAATAAAAAAAATCCCAGACATCCAAAACCTGAAAATGAATAAATCCACACCAAAACCCGAAAAAAAAAAAAAATCACAGACATTCACAAAAATCCTAAAAAAAACCGCCACGACCCCCCTTCAACAGTATTTTCCCGCCTCCCACCCCACAGTACGCGGCGGCCTAACCTTACGAGAGGGGCTGACCATCGCCGAGACAGCACGAGCCACGGGACACCTCCGCGCCTTCGACATGGTTGAAGTGAACCCCGACTTGGGCAACCAGAACGACGCCAACCTCACTTCACAAGCCGCTCGCCTCGTTATCCTATCCGCTTTGGCTGGATATAGGGGTGCCTAGTTCAGTTAGCCTTGGGAGAGGTGGGGCGAGGGAGGGAGGAGGAGAGAGAGAGAGAGAGAGAGAGAGAGAGAGAGAGAGAGAGAGAGAGAGAGACAGAGGAGAGAGAGAGAGATACAAGGAGAGAGAGAGAGAAATACAAGGAGAGAGAGAGAGAGAGATACAAGGGAGTGGGAAGGGTAGGGAGGAAGAGAGAAGATTGGGGAAAGGGAAGGGAGAAGATGGAGAAAGGGGAAGAGAAAGACAGAAAGAGAGAGAGGGTGAGGGAGAATATCTAGAGAGATAGGGTGAGGGAGAGTATTTTAGAAATAGAGAGAGAGAGTGGATATATATATAGAGAGAGAAAGAGATACAGGCACACACACACACATTTATATGTGTGTGTGTCCTCTTTCTATATATGTCTTCTCTCTCTCTCTCTTTCTAAAATACTCTGCCTCACCCTCTCTCTAAATATTCTCCCTATACATATACATACACACACACATGTATATATATTATATATATATATATATATATATATATATATAGTATATATATATATATACATACATATATATACATATATATACATATATACATATTATATACATATATACATATATACATATTTACATATACATATATATATACATATATATATATATATATATATATATATATTATATATATATATATATATATATATATATATATATATATATATATATATATATATATATATATATAAAGAGAGAGAGAGAGAGAGAGAATGATAGAGGTATGGGGATAAACACACATACACACATGTGTGTATATAGATAGATAGATAGATTTATATATATACACACTCATACATATGTGTGTGTATATAATATATATATATTATATATATATATATTATATATAATATATATATATATTATATATATATATATACCGAGAGTGAGAGAAAAAAAGAAAGTTTTCTTACATATGTTTTGCTCAGCCTACTGCACTTGTAGGCTACAGCAAGATCACTAAGATATAACTTAGACCAAGTGATCTTGGTCTACAGTAGCCCCAATCATGACTGCAATTACTTGTTTGTTTGTTTTTAGTGTATTTTTACTATTCACCGTCATGTGAATGTTATGTTACCATTGTGTAAGATAAGCATACATTTTGAACGAAAAATTCTGACATGTTGCCATCGACATACCTATAAACTTGATATGATTCTGTTATAATTTATTCTAGAGCAGATTTATTCAACGTTACCAACCCTCGTAGGTATAAACGAAGGGTGGATGCGGCTATGCGCCCCCGTTGGCCATAGTTCCTGGACGATGATGATAATTTATTCAAGAGTTCTTTGTGTTCGTTAGTTACTTATAAATACACTTAGAATTAGAATATGAAGTCCTATTCTTCTTTCAGTATACCGAATCTGAAATGACACTAAAATTTATATAAAATGGCACTAAAATTTATATAAAATAAAGATTACTTTATCTTCCGGAACGATTTTCATTTCCTTCCCTCTATAATTTTACTTATTAACTGAAAGAATTTCTATAGCAGATATACGATGTGTGTGTGTGTGTGTATACACACACACACACACACACACACACAACACACATATATATATATATATATATATATATATATATATATATATATATATATATATATTCTTATTGAAATATTTAAGCACTGAAATTTAAAAGGCAAACAACCCGAAAACTTGAAGTCAGCAGCAACTATCTATAAAAGAGAGGAGAGGCACTTCTCACCCGGCGGCCGCAGCGTCAACATCCCTCCAGCTTTCCACAGCGATTCAGCTCCCGCGCGTGCTATTTAATATATACACAAATGACCAGCCAGAATTTGAAAACATCCGCAGATTCATATATGCAGATGACTTGTGCATTGCCACACAGTCAAAATCATTTGAAATAATCGAAAACAGACTTACAGATGCACTAGAAATACTCTCAGACTACTACAAACAATGGTTCCTAAATGCTAACCCAGGTAAAACACAAGTCTGCACCTTCCACCTTAACAACCGTCAAGCCAACCGAAACCTCAGAGTCCGGTGGGAGAATAAAGAATTGAAAAACACCAAATACCCAGTATACCTTGGTGTGACTCTTGACAGAACCCTATCTTTCAAAGAGCACACAAGGAAACTGAAAGAAAAAGTTGCAAGTCGTAACAACCTTCTGCGGAAACTTGCAAACACAAAATGGGGCACAGATCCAAACACCCTCAAAACCACAGCAGTGGCGCTGTGTTTCTCCACAGCTGAATACTGTGCCCCAGTCTGGGCTAGGTCCTGTCATGCATCAGCAGTAGACACCGAGCTGAATCAGGCTTGCCGTATCATCACAGGGAACCTGAAATCCACACCTCTACCAGCCGTTTACCGCATGGCCAGCATCGCACCACCCGCCATCAGACGTAACGCCTTAACAAAGCAAGAACGTGACAAACAACTAAATGACTGCAGACACCCACTGTATGGCCATCAACAGGTTCTACAAAGACTTAAATCTCGTAAGAGCTTTGGCACAACCTTAGGATTAGAAGGGCGCAGCCCAGCACAACACCGGCTGGAGCAATGGGAGTTATGGGACAGGTCAGCATCCTATGCTGCGGTACCACCACAATCCGAATCCCTCCCTAACGGATCGTCCTTCAAAAGGAACGAATGGGTGGCCCTGAACAGAGCAAGGGCAAAAGTTGGCCGCACAAACAACAATCTCCACAAGTGGGGACTCGTGACACAACCAACCTGTCCGTGTGGAGAACCTATTCAAACAATGGATCACATCCTCCGAGAATGCACAATGGGCCCACATTGCACCGATCAAGACCTATTAGATGCAAATCAAACAGCTGCCCAATGGTGCCAGTGGTGGTATGAAAAGATATGATGATGATGAGCTCCCGCGCGAGCTCCCACTTCTATCAACGAATCTCCTACTTGACCGAAGTTTCCTCCAAGTTCTCCCGGAAACCCTTTTCGACGTCATCCTGAATCCTGCCGCAGGATTCCTACTAAACGAAGGTCTGCCACGAGATGTCTGCGGTCGCCGGGAGACAGGTCGACCCGACGAGGCGTCCTCGCCTGCGGGAATGGACCCCTCCCCTGTGCCTTCTGCGGGGCGGCCTTTTCTTCAGCGTGTCGAGGTTTATCACCGTCTTCCTCCTGGGACTTCTGCTGCGGCTGCTGACGAAGATGTGACGTCGGTCGGGGCCTCCTTGCAGCGCCCTCTTCGCCCCTTTCTCCTCGCGTTCGGCGGGCTCCGGTTAGTATTTGCTGGGGCCGACCAACTCCTGTAGGGTACGAGGCGGCTACGCCAAGGCGTCGGGCGGAGTTTGAGGGTCTCTGCCACGGGCCCTACAGCCTATCTCCAGCATTTGCTGTAGGTTGGCCCAGTGGAAGAACACCGGAGCGTGCCTTACAAAGAAGAGGGGGACGTCAGCGGGAGGACTTCGCGCCGTCAGAGGGTCGCCGTCGGGTGGCTTCCGGCGGCTGTCCCAGGCGGCTAGGGGTCCGGTTCTGGTGGATGGTGTCGCCGGCCTACTAGCGTCGTTGATGGGCGGTGTCTGCGGATGTCGCAGGGATAGCCATCCCTGTTTGTGGAGGGCGCCTCGCACAAAGGCCAATCTTTTGGCCAAAGATTGACACACTTAATAAAGTATTCAAAACCTATCCCCAAGGTGTCCACTTACCGGGTGGCTCAGGCGAAACCCGGGCTATCGGACTACTCTTGGATAGCGAATCAGTAAAAAAAAAAAAATAATAAATAAAAATAAATAATAATAATAATGTATATGCCGTCTTAGAATGTTTCTACTTTCATGACGCACTCTTATATTCTCTCTCTTCCCTTTTCATGTAATAATCACGCTCTCACGTAGACACACAAACTGAACCCATTCTGATGATGAATTTAGCAGAAACTATAGGCTGCCTATCTTGCAGATTATTAACCCCAAACAGCAAAGTCATAATTATTCAAAATGACCCAATGGTAGAACACTCGACTTCGAGGCAGAGGGACTTGGCTTCGAGTCCCAAGTCTTTTGTCAAAACTTCTTTTTGCAGTTGTAAGTAATATGTAGATTTTATAATCATTATACTGAAAATCATTTTTATTACCGGAACAACACTACATACATTACAGATTTCCGAATGCCATGGCATGAGTACTGTCATTTCTTTTATAATAATTTACACATCCCTTAAGCACTGAATTTTAAAAGGTATACAGCCCGAAAACTTGAAGTCAGCAACAGCTAAGAACTAGAGAGAGAGAGAGAGAGAGAGAGAGAGAGAGAGAGAGAGAGAGAGAGAGAGAGAGAGAGAGAGAGAGAGAGAGAGAGATTTTCACTCTCATCATCATCATCATCTTTGTGACTGTTATTTTCTTCATTATCATTACTTGTAATGATAATGATTTCTTTGATAAGGATAATTATAATCAACACAATGTATATGCTGTCCTTAGAATGTTTCTACTATCTTTCATGACTCACTCTTTTTCTCTTTCTTCCTTCTTTCACAGTAACCATATAATAACCACGCTCTCACGAACTCATTCTGATGATGAATTTAGCAGAAACTATAGGATGCCTATTTTCCAGCTTACTAATTTAGCGCAACGAATGATACAATCACAAATGCGGCGATAGCAATTAGAGAACAGGACGCCTAATTTGTCACATTATTAATACTGCCCAAAGGAAGGGGGACTTTTTGAGCAATACGAGAAGAAACCTGACCTGGTATTTCCACCTAAAGGAAATCGGAGCTTGTTCATTACTGGTGAAAATCTTTCCGTTCTGATAACTTTAAGTTTATTAGAGAATAGGGCATTGGTTATATATCCATGTTTTGTTTTTTTAGTATGCTTGATATGTTACTTCATAAATACACTTATTTTCGTTACTAGTCCAAGATCATATACAAATTATATTATATTCTTATGGAACATATTTTGAAACGTTAGTATTGCAGCGATTTTGTCCTCCATTTAGACTACTATGACCGTAGCAAATGATTTACGAATCTATGATACTACGCATGACTCCCATTCAAAATATTGCATCAAGGAATATTCAGTTAACAGAACAAATTCAAATATTCATCGGATTCTATAATTACGAATGCGATTTTTAAAATTCAACAGCATACAATAGAACTGTGGAAATGTCACTCAGAGTGAGCATTTAAAAAACAAGAGAGTTATCCCTACCAAAACAAACGGTTTTCTACGAAGAAATTTGCATTCTAAACTTTATTCATTTTGAAAAAATCCCCACCATATGCAATCTGTACGAAATCTCGACCCGCTAAAGCATCCAAAGTATCGCACACATCCTCCAACCCGTCAGCCAGTCCGAAGCATCCCAGAAAATAGAGAATAACCCGTCCTAAAGAGGAGTTGACACCGGCCCAGCCCTCCCGCACGGCCGCCTCCAGCCGCCATCTTGACCCCGCCTCGCTCTTCACGGGATTTCGCGAGATTTCGAGGTACATGCACGCTATCTCTCGGGGGGGATTTTCGGTTAAGTGGATTTTCGCCGTCGTCTCACTTTCTGTCGAGGGAATGTGGTGGGACGCGATGTGTGGCCATTAATCGGGCGTGGAAGGGCTAACTAAGGCAATGGGGTAGGAATGTGACCTCCACGTCGCTCAAAATCGATGTCAGGAGAACAAGGTGAAGAGGGAATTGAAAGGTAATGCAATGAGCCCTCTCGTGCTGTGCGGGAGAGGCTGACTTTTATTGGTATTTGGTCAGAGTAAAGGACGTGTCATGCCTTTGTAGGTGGTAGGCTTAGTGGAATAAGAGTAAATATGTAATTTTAGCCGGGTATGTTCTTGTTTATCATCATATCAAAATAAGATGAGGCAGGATTTAGAAGGTAATTAATTATTATTGTGTAGGGATCATATATTTCATATTCTTGAGTATTCAGATCTGTAGGAAAGTCAAATTCAGGTGGAAAAAGAAAATAAAAGCTGTTTGTTTTATTTCTTTGGCATTGCTTTCTCATGCCTGACACTCATGACAGGAAGATCAATAGAAACAGATATGAATCAAGTTCCTGTTCTTTGTTTCTTGAATAATAAGCAAGTAATTGTTGTGTGTTAAATTTAATAACAGTCAGTATTTGGCAGGTGGTCATCATTTTTAAAAAATGGTATTCTGCTCTGACGCTAAAACAACAGTCATGGATTGTTTAATTTGGCAACCAATCTTCTCGGTACAAGTCCAGTTCCATACAGCCATCGTTTAGACAAAAAATAACATATGCAAACGATAGAGGTGATTCTAAAAATTATCTTCTATGAACTAACTGCAACTCAAAAATATCTCCCAAATAGTTTATGGGGCCTAGCCTAACCATATCTAATCACACCTAATCAAGACTTTCCCATTACCTCACAAGCCAGGATTCAGGTGGTAGGAATTCCAGATATATGTAATTGTGGTTCAGATGAGTAACAATAATATTTTGAGCATTTAAACACATGCCTGCCATTGGTGTATGGCCTGTCAAGCTAAAATTAAGAAATATTCTCTATATTAATATTAGCAAGAGAGGGTGTGTAGACCTTTCAGGCAGTTTATACTTAAATCAAGAACCAATCCAGGCTCCATCTCGCTAGAATGTATGTGACGGAGGTTTATTGGCCTTTGCTAGAGCACAAAGTGTGGAGGTTGTGGTTCTCGCTTGACAGCATCCCAGGGTTCGTCCATAATTTTCATCATTATCATGAGCGTACAAACCATACATATGGGGGAGGGGGTTAAGACTAGACATACACTTTTTTGAATGTGAAAAATGATGATCTGTCAATGGGCGAATCAGCATCCATCATATTTCAAATTTTGCACCATGTTGGCATTGCTAGTAGGGCTGGCCGCTTATCCTTAGAAGCAGTTCTGACATTTACTAAACATTAGATAATAAAGGAAACAGATATAAATGATAGAATTGAACCATACACTATACATTACTTTTTAAATTTACTTTGATTTATTTTTTATGTCCACTCCATAATAATATTTTCTTTCATTGTATGTGTAGTAAGATACATAAATAGGTAAGATATTCTAAATCTAGTCAGGAGACACAGAAATAGATTTTATTAGGATGTGGTGATAAATATAACTCAGTCATTTACCAGTTACTAGTCAGAAGATACAGCCTGAACTCTGTGAGACTTCATGTCCCACTTTTGAAATAATTGTGAGGCTGAAACTCAGTTCATGATTTTTAAGGGAGTTTTATGAGAGCATTTTTTGTCTTTCTTTCTTTTTTTTTTTTCCAGAGCTTCATGATTTTTTATATATTTTAAGTATTAAGGGAATAAGGTATAATGTGTATGGTTATTGTGATTGCTTCTGGCATTATAGTAAAGGCCACCAAAGCTTCACCAAATTATGGCAAAATGGAGCATGGATGTTAAATTCTATGTCAAACAGAAATTACTTGAGTCATTGGTGGTATAGAAGAGCTTTTACTGTCTGATTTTGCTGTTTTCCTCAAGTTCTGTATATTAACAACTGTAATTATCATTGCACTTTCTTTATTAGGGTTGTGATTGACCCCATGCAACATTGATTGTGAGCAAAATACCGATCAGTACCTATTCCATTGTTTATAATCCACTGTTGCCTTATATATACAAAAATGAAAGTAATTAAAAAACAGGATATACCTTCCATCACCATTATCACAACCACCATACATATTGTGTGGAAACCCTGGTGGTTTGTTGGCCATTGCTGAGGCGCCAATGAAATACAAAGCACAACTATCACATGATTACATTTTAAGATTGTTACATTTTTATTTTCCACCTACTATGTCATAGAAAAAAATGAAATATTTACAGATTTCCAAGAATGGTGAAGTAGCTCTAATGAGGAAAATGATACCTCAAACTTAAAAATCAGAGCAACCATTTTATCCGCAGACTGGACAAAGGAGTTTTTATCATGGGTGAGGAGAGCGAAGACGACTATGGGGAAGCAGCATCTTTACCCCCTGTGAAGAGGATTCGAGTGACACAGATGGATCTCCTGAACCATTTGTTGAATGAGGTATGTGTGTGTTTTACATCACTTACTATCCATCAGTGACAGCATTGTTCCTGATTAAGTATATGTGAGGGTATTTGTTCCCTAGGGCAGTATGGTGTCAAAAATGCACTGCCATAATTCTCTTCTTCCCTATTTCAATTTATGGGGAAGTGTATTGCAAATCTTAATGAACTATGGTCCAGTTCTTTCATTTGAATACTGTACCCTTTTGATAAATTCATTTTAAGTTGTCAAAATATTAATTTGTATTTGCTGCCTTTTTACAAAGACTGAAAACTTCAAGAATGTCATGAAGATTTCCATTAAATGGTAATTTGTTTCCAGGTAATGGAAATCAGAACATGTATGAACACGCGCCTTACATCGTTGGAGACCAAAGTTTCAGTCTTGGTTCAGACTTGCAATAGAATTGCAACCAAGCTAGATGCAGTGGAACGGAACATTGGAAAACAACCAGAACAATCCATGTACGATGAGTGATATTGGAAATTATGTTTCTCACAGATTGATATCAAGTGGAAAAAACAAATATATGGTTGTCAAAATGTAGATAGCTTAATGAATATTAAACTTAATTTTCAGACCGGTAGAAATCCCAGCTGAGATGTCCAATGCACCAATTTTAGTTCAGGATGCCGACACAAGTAACCATATGAATGTCATATCCCTCAACTCTGAAGAGGACTTCCCACACGGGTCATGGCTGGGTGACCCTACGCATCCCACATTACGCGTGCGGTGTCCCATTACGCCACAGTAAGTACCTTTTATTATTATTTATTTTTTAATGATACACGATATGCACAAGGCATTTGAAATGGTTTTTATCTTCTTATTTCATTAATTGAGATTATGAGAAAATATTGAATATATGACAAGTTACTGTTAACCGAGGTCATTGATGTATTTTGTAACAAAGCATTTTCCAAAAGAAATCTATTGCACATCAACTCCACCTGCATCACAGCTGAGAAAATGGCTCTGACACTTTTGGACTATCTATTCACGAAGGAAGAATTGGCCTCTTCAAATTTATCTGGAAGAAGTGAGTGTGCCTGTATATCTTCATAGGTTGTCACTGTTAAACATTCTTCTTGATTACATAGTTATGATTGATATAGTCTACTACTGATTTAATATTTCAAGAATCAGGGAATCAGGGAAGTCTTCTACTTGCAGCTAATACCCTCTGCTACAGGTCTTCCCCCCTCACCCCCTACTTTTTTTCTTCTTTATCATCTCTTCCCTCCCTCCCCCAGTTTTTAGTGGTGTTTTAGTGGTTGTGTGGGTGGCTACGTGTGGGTGCATGGAAGACAGATAGTGAGTGATAATTGCAGTGATTATGAATCTGTTCTTTTACTCAACATAATGGTTACTAATTCTGCCAAATATGTATTTTTTATGCTGATTTTATGTCTAAATATTTCCTTTTGTTATAATGTACAGGTAGGTGG